GCTAGCAGGGGATCTTCTCATCCCCCCCCAACCCGATCCCCCATTGTAAAAGCTAGCAGGGGATCTTCTCAACCCCCCCAACCCGATCCCCCATTGTAAAAGCTAGCAGGGGATCTTCTCATCCCCCAACCCGATCCCCCATTGTAAAAGCTAGCAGAGGATCTTCTCACCCCCCCAACCCGATCCCCCATTGTAAAAGCTAGCAGGGGATCTTCTCATCCCCCCCAACCCGATCCCCCATTGTAAAAGCTAGCAGGGGATCTTCTCACCCCCCCAACCCGATCCCCCATTGTAAAAGCTAGCAGGGGATCTTCTCACCCCCCCAACCCGATCCCCCATTGTAAAAGCTAGCAGGGGACCTTCTCACCCCCCCCCAACCCGATCCCCCATTGTAAAAGCTAGCAGGGGATCTTCTCACCCCCCCAACCCGATCCCCCATTGTAAAAGCTAGCAGGGGATCTTCTCATCCCCCAACCCGATCCCCCATTGTAAAAGCTAGCAGGGGATCTTCTCATCCCCCAACCCGATCCCCCATTGTAAAAGCTAGCAGGGGATCTTCTCATCCCCCAACCCGATCCTCCATTGTAAAAGCTAGCAGAGGATCTTCTCACCCCCCCAACCCGATCCCCCATTGTAAAAGCTAGCAGGGGATCTTCTCATCCCCCCCAACCCGATCCCCCATTGTAAAAGCTAGCAGAGGATCTTCTCACCCCCCCAACCCGATCCCCCATTGTAAAAGCTAGCAGGGGATCTTCTCATCCCCCCAACCCGATCCCCCATTGTAAAAGCTAGCAGGGGACCTTCTCATCCCCCAACCCGATCCCCCATTGTAAAAGCTAGCAGGGGATCTTCTCATCCCCCCCCAACCCGATCCCCCATTGTAAAAGCTAGCAGGGGATCTTCTCATCCCCCAACCCGATCCCCCATTGTAAAAGCTAGCAGGGGATCTTCTCATCCCCCAACCCGATCCCCCATTGTAAAAGCTAGCAGGGGATCTTCTCATCCCCCAACCCGATCCCCCATTGTAAAAGCTAGCAGAGGATCTTCTCACCCCCCCAACCCGATCCCCCATTGTAAAAGCTAGCAGGAGATCTTCTCATCCCCCAACCCGATCCCCCATTGTAAAAGCTAGCAGGGGATCTTCTCATCCCCCCCCAACCCGATCCCCCATTGTAAAAGCTAGCAGGGGATCTTCTCATCCCCCCCAACCCGATCCCCCATTGTAAAAGCTAGCAGGGGATCTTCTCATCCCCCCCAACCCGATCCCCCATTGTAAAAGCTAGCAGGGGATCTTCTCATCCCCCCCAACCCGATCCCCCATTGTAAAAGCTAGCAGGGGATCTTCTCATCCCCCCCCCCAACCCGATCCCCCATTGTAAAAGCTAGCAGGGATCTTCTCATCCCCCCCAACCCGATCCCCCATTGTAAAAGCTAGCAGGGGATCTTCTCATCCCCCAACCCGATCCCCCATTGTAAAAGCTAGCAGGGGACCTTCTCCCCCCCCCCCCCCCCCCCCCCGCTAGCATTCACATATTTTTTTTCACATGCAGTTGTGCGGGGCTCTGCCTGTCCGGCCGCGTCATTCATTTACAAAGTTCTGTGAATGGGAAACTTTAAGTACCGACAGCCTTTTGCAGCTGTCGGCTTGTAGTTCTCAATAGAATACCATGTCAGTGTTGTGGTAGTTCATTGAGTCTTCTTGTCAGTGTGAAACTACCTCCCCGTACAAGGTGTGTGCAGACAGCTCACACCAACAGCCTGCAGGAGTCCTGCATGGCGCCAGCCATCTACTGATCAATGGTGCAATGCTTTCCAGGCTCATAAAAAAAAAAAAAAAAAAAAACGACAATAATAATAATAGTAAATGCACATTTTTTTTACCTGCAGAAAATGTGCATTTATTATTTTTTTTAAAGTGAATGTATCCGTTTCTGCTTCAACAGACCAATGTAATTATGTGCTGCGATGGAGAGCTCCGCAGAGCGCTGAGCTGTGTGAAGATGTCCTACTTTTTCTTGTAGTGAATTGAATCTGTAGGACAGAAGACAAGACACCTTGCCCTTGTGTTAGACAAGGAAATGAATGCACCTAAGACACACCAACACCGATCACAGGGACCCCCACCTCCCAGCGGGTGACAGCAGTAAGGGGCCGGGGGTGACAGCAGTAAGGGCCGGGCGGGTGGAAACACTAACGGCCGGGCGGGTGGCAGCAGTAAGGGCCGGGGTGACAGCGGGAACGGCCGGGAAGGTGACAGCAGTAACGGCCGGGAAGGTGACAGCACTAATGGCCGGGAAGGTGACAGCGGGAACGGCCGGGCAGGTGACAGCGGGAACGGCCGGGCAGGTGACAGCGGGAACGGCCGGGCAGGTGACAGCGGGAACGGCCGGGCAGGTGACAGCGGGAACGGCCGGGCAGGTGACAGCGGGAACGGCCGGGCAGGTGACAGCGGGAACGGCCGGGCAGGTGACAGCGGGAACGGCCGGGCAGGTGACAGCGGGAATGGCCTGGAAGGTGACAGCACTAATGGCCGGGAAGGTGACAGCGGTAAGGGCCGGCAGGTGACAGGGGAACAGCAGTAGGGGCCTAATGGCCGGGGGACAGCAGTAAGGGCCAGCCAGGGACAGCAGGAAGGGCCGGCCAGGGGACAGCAGTAAGGGCCAGCCAGGGGACAGCAGGAAGGGCCGGCCAGGGGACAGCAGTAAGGGCCGGCCAGGGGACAGCAGGAACGGCCGGCAGGTGACAGCAGTAAGGGCCGGCCAGGGGACAGCAGGAACCACATGATGCCCCCAGTACCTGCCATGGCCTGTGATCAGTGATGGGTCCCACACCCAGTAATGGAGGGAGCGGGGCTCACCTGGTGACCGGGCTGTATGGGCTCCGGGATCTCCGGCGGCCCGGGGAAGTGTCCGTCCTCTCATAAGTAGGAGATCGGCGGCCTAGCCGGTGTCCGCTGTACCCAGGACTGGGTGATCGGGCCGGACTGGCCGATTTCTTGCGATGGTTCCCCTGGGGCGAGGCCCTGGACGAGCTCCGGTCCCCTCTGTAAGCCTTGGGTGGCTGTTTACTGTACGAGGCCGCGGCCTCCTCCCTCTTCGGCCTGTGCGAGGCCGTGGCACGGCCCTCCGTCCTCTTGGCGGACTCCTCCTGAGGCCTCCAGGGCTGAGCGAGCATCAGAGGCTCGGCGGGGAGCAACAGGTTCCCCACGGCCAGCCTATTCCGCCTGTCCTCGGTGCGCCCTCCACGGCCATCGTTCCTGTGCGCCGACTCCTGCCTTCGCTTCTTCCTCCGGCCGCTCCTGTCCGAGTCCCCGGCCTGCCGTAGAAGCGGCAGCGGCGTCTGGTGCAGCATAGGCGGCGAAGGGCACCTATCCGAGGCCGGGGATGGGATGAGGCCTAGTGCAGGGGGGAAAGCAGCCTCCTGGCCTTGCTCGCCCTCGGACAGCGAGCTGACGTCGTCGTATTCCACCGGGGCGCTGTGCAGAGTGCCGACCTTCCTGAGGAGATTCCTGCGCTCCCTCTGCCTCCTCTTTTTGTCTCTATGGTGCCGGGCTCCCCGAGGGACAGCTGGCACTTCTCCCTCCTCCATCAGGCCCATGTTGGCCTCCTCGGGCCTCCGTTTCCTCCTCCCGTGCCGATCCTTCCTCCGCCTCCCGGACGAGTCCCGGGGCTTGTGGCGGTGTCCGGACACTGAGGAGGCGGCTGAGGACGAGGTGGACAGGGCTGGGGCGGGGGGCTGGCTGAGAGAAGAGCCCCCTGGCATCGCGGGGCACAGAGGAGAGAACATGCCGGCCCTTTGTCCCCAAAGTCCCCTCACAGTGACCAATCACTTGTCTGCTGCTGGACGGGGCTCCTGTCACTCCGCACCGAGGCCGCTCATGTCCGTACACAATGCCCTAAGAACGAGCCGCACCGACGGAGCTCAGCACAGCCATGACTGAAACTTCTTCATCCGGGACTTGTGTCCGCTCCGCACTCAGCCCATGGTCGGTGCCTCAGTCAGCAGAGCCGTCCGCAGCCTCCTTCCCGCTCACACACACTGGCCGCCACCACTTTCTATGTCAGCCGGGCCGGGCCCGCAGTCTTCATGGTGAGGAGTCAGGCCTGCTACTGGGCAAAGCTAAACAAGGAAGTCCAGCCGGCTCCATCATCTGCACACACACCTCCCACTCCGGCACATGGCGGGGAGGGGAGAGCCGCTCACTGGAGGAAAGTCACTCAACGCCAGGCATGGCTGGAGCCCCACCGGGGTGTCACCTCATACACAGGGGGCTCCCTTCACACCGGCCCTCTGGAAGGAGGGGGTTCACCTCACACCGGCCCTCTGGAAGGAGGGGGTTCCCTTCACACCGGCCCTCTGGAAGGAGGGGGCTCCCTTCACACCGGGCTCTGGAAGGAGGGGGGCCCTCTGCAAGGAGGGGGCTCCCTTCACACCGGCCCTCTGCAAGGAGGGGGTTCACCTCACACCGGGCTCTGCAAGGAGGGGGCTCCCTTCACACCGGCCCTCTGCAAGGAGGGGGCTCCCTTCACACCGGGCCCTCTGGAAGGAGGGGGTTCACCTCACACCGGCCCTCTGCAAGGAGGGGGCTCCCTTCACACCGGGGCAAGGAGGGGGCTCCCTTCACACCGGGCTCTGCAAGGAGGGGGCTCCCTTCACACCGGGCTCTGGAAGGAGGGGGCTCCCTTCACACCGGCCCTCTGCAGGGAGGGGGCTCCCTTCACCTCACACCGGGCTCTGGAAGGAGGGGGCTCCCTTCACACCGGGCTCTGGAAGGAGGGGGCTCCCTTCACACCGGCCCTCTGCAAGGAGGGGGCTCCCCTCTCCGGGCTTTCAGTTTCCTTCACTTTGACAGAACTTTAAAAACATGTCTTCTGTTTACCTCACAGCCCCCCCAACACAGGAGTCACCCCCTGCTTCCCCAGAGTCATGGCAACCTTATTTTTCTGTTTAGATTTTTGTTTTTTTTGTTCCTTAACGGGCGGACTGACAACTCATGGGGCCCCCGGGCAATAGGGGATCATGGGGCCCCTGTGTCCTTGCCCAAACTCAAAAAAGCCTATGAAAAAGGTACCAGGGGCATCTCATGGGGCCCCCTACTGACCCCGGGCCCTCGGGCAGTGCCCGAGTTTCCAAACGGTCAGTCCACCCCTGTATATATATGATTTAGCGCACCCGTGCCCCCCTGTAGCAGTATTTCTGCTATAGGACAGTCGGGAAACGGTTAAAGATAAAGGTTTTCAGGGATCGTCTAAAGGTGGATTAGGAAATAGTTGGACAGATTGGGGTAGGGAGTTCCATAGGATGGGAGAAACTTGGAGAAGTCCTGGAGGCGAGCATTGAAGGAGGTGACACAGGAACTAGAGAGCAGAAGGTCTTGGGAGGATCAAAGACAGCGGTTTGGTTGATAATATGCGACCAGGTTGGTGAGGTCGCTGGGGGCGGAGTTGTGGTTGTGGATGGCTTTGTAAGTTGTTGTTAGTATTTAGAATTTTATTTGTTGGGCGAGTGGAGGGATTGGCAGAGGGGGGTGGAGGACACTGAGTGGAGGCCAGTGGAGGGATTGGCAGAGGGGGGTGGAGGACACTGAGTGGAGGCCAGTGGAGGGATTGGCAGAGGGGGGTGGAGGACACTGAGTGGAGGCCAGTGGAGGGATTGGCAGAGGGGGGTGGAGGACACTGAGTGGAGGCCAGTGGAGGGATTGGCAGAGGGGGGTGGAGGACACTGAGTGGAGGCCAGTGGAAGGATTGGCAGAGGGGGAGAGAGGACACTGAGTGGAGGCCAGTGGAGGGATTGACAGAGAGGGGGGTGGAGGACACTGAGTGGAGGCCAGTGGAGGGATTGGCAGAGGGGGGTGGAGGACACTGAATGGAGGCCAGTGGAGGGATTGGCAGAGAGAGATGGAGGACACTGAGTGGAGGCCAGTGGAGGGATTGGCAGAGAGAGATGGAGGACACGGAATGGTTGGCAAGGTGAATGAACCTGGCAGCAGTATTCATGGTGGATTGGAGGGGGTGTGTCCTATGTAAAGGTCAGCCAATGAGGAGGGAGTTGCAGTAGTGGAGGAGAGGTGACCAGGGAGTGAATTAGGATCTTGTTTTGCTTTTTTTGTGTAATATTTCTCTTCCCTTTTGGATATTTGTACATTTTTCTCTTCCAATAAAAATATTAAGGACAGGGGCGGACTGACCATTTGGAAACTCGGGCACTACCGGAGGGCCCAGGGTCAGTAGGGGGCCCCATGAGATGCCCCTGGTACCTTTTTCATAGGCTTTTTTGAGTTTGGGCAAGGACACAGGGGCCCCATGATCCCCTGTTGCCTGGGGGTCCCATGATCCCCTATTGCCCGGGGGCCCCATGATCCCCTATTGCCCGGGGGGCCCCATGATCCCCTATTGCCCAGGGGCCCCATGATCCCCTATTGCTCGGGGGCCCCATGATCCCCTATTGCTCGGGGGCCCCATGATCTCCTATTGCCCGGGGGCCCCATGAGTTGTCAGTCCGCCCCTGTATGTATATATATATATATATATATGCAATTTTTCATTTCTGGGTAGGGGGCACGGCGCACCCTACCTGCTCCGCCATTCGTGGCTGTCAATCACTGGGTCACGGCCGGTGATTACTCGCCGGCGCCCGGTGATTGCCGAGGATCTCCGACGGGGAGGAGAACTGTATGTAAACAATACAGTTCTCCTCCCTGCACAGCACAGCCATCCAAAGCAGTGTGCTTACAGTGAAGCACATGGACCCCGCCCCCTAGTAAAACAGTCCCAGCACACAGTTAACCCTTTGATCACCCCAGATGTTAACCCCTTCCTGCCCAGTGTCATTAGTACAGTGTCAGTGCTTTTTATTTGCACTGATCACTGTATTGGTGTCACTGGGGATGTCAGTGACACCAAGTCAGTTCCCCCCCCAGTGTCAGAATGTCCGCTGCAGTCCCATAATAAGTCGCTGATCGCCGCCATTACTAGTGGAAAATGTTTTTTTTTTTAAATTCCGGTGTCTATACTGTCATGTGGAAATGCTAGAACTTTCAAATTAAACGAATTAAATCAATTAATTTATACATATTGGGATTTTTTTCAGCAAAGACATGGAGCAGAATACATTTTGGCCTAAATTTATGACAAAATTTAAATTTTTTAAAACTTTTTTTACCGGACATGTTTAAACCGTTTCCTCGCACCACCCTATAACAGATATACTGATTTTGATTTTTCATTTCCGGGTAGGGGGCGCACACGCGCACATGCGCACACCCTACCCGTGCTACCATTTGTGGCCGCGGCTGTCAGTCACCAGGTCCCAGCTGGTGATTACCCGCCGCTGCCCATTGATTACCGACATTAACAGACGGGGAGGGCGGGCTGCTTTGTTTACTAACAGCCTTCCTCCCTGTGTGTTTGGGCACACTGCTCTGGATAGCTGTGCACAGCCATCCAGAGCAGTGTGATTAAAGTGAAGCATACACCCCCCCCCCCCACACTAGTAAAACACTCCCTGCACATAGTTAACCTTTTGATAACCCCTTCCTGCCCAGTGTCATTAGTACAGTGTCAATGCTTTTTTTTTTTTTTTAGCACTGATCACTGTATTGGTGTCACTGGGGATGTCAGTGACACCAAATCAGTTCCCCCCCCAGTGTTAGAATGCCCTGCCACAGTCCCGCTACAAGTCGCTGATTGCCAACATTATTAGTAGAAAAAAAAATCCCAGTATCTATACCGCCATTTGTAAACGCTATAACGTTCACGTGAACCAATTCATTTACACCTATTGGGTTTTTCTTTTAAAAAAGACATGTCACAGAACACATTTTGGCCGAAATTTATGTTGAAATTTGATTTTTCACATTTTTTTTACTGGACATGTTTAATAGCAAAAAGTCCAAAAATATAGTTTTTTTTCTCAAAATTGGCAGACTTTTTATTTTATAGCGCAAAAAATAAAAACCGCACAGGCGATCAAATACCACCGAAAAAAGCTACATTCGTAAGAAAAAAAGGACGTAATTTTAATTTGGGTGCAGCGTTGCATGACCGTGCAATTGTCAGTTAAAATTACGCAGGTCACCCGGACACAGCTGATCATGTGACGTGGTAAAAGGCCAATCACAGCGACCTTTTAGCACATGATCAGCCGTGTCCAATGACAGGGCAGATCACCGGGTAAATGCAGTTGCCAGTTATCGGTTGCACTTTCCTCACACTGTCACAGCGAGAGGAAATTACTGCCGATAACCGGCAATTGTCAGAAAACAGATCGGCACTGATGATCACTGCCCAGCAGTGCCACCCACAAGTGCCAAGCAGTGCCACCCACCTGTGCCACCCATGAGTGCTGTCCTGCAGTGCCACCTAGCACTGCCCAGCAGTGCCTCCAGTCAGGGCCACCCATCAGTGCTGCCTATCAGTGACCATCATTGCTGCATATCAGTGCAGCATCATCAGTGCCCATCAGTGCTGCCTATCAGTGCCACCTATCAGTGCACATAACTGCTGCCTATTAGTGTCCATCAGTGCTGCCTATCAGTGCAGCCTCATCAATGCACATCAGTGAAGGAGAAAAATTACCCGTTTGCAACATTTTATAATAGAAACAATGAAAAACTTTTTTTTTCCAAAATTGTTTGCTCTTTTTTTGTTTATAGTGCAAAAAAATAAAACACCCAGCGGGGAGTAAATACCACCAACAGAAAGCTCTATTTATGTGAAAAAAAATGATAAAAGTTTAATCTGGGTACAGTAGGCAAGTGGTTAAGGAACCCCTAGCAACCTCTGGAGGAACCCTGGATGAGACACCCTGGGCTATTGACTTCTATAGGAGCTGTTTCTAAACCACACGTCATAAATTGTGAACAGGATAAAATCCTGACCTTAACTTGTCCTGAACCTGATATAAACCTGACCTGAACTGCTGGACAACTACTTTATCAATTAGCTATGAAACCTGAGCTTCAATCCGCACCGCACGTGTGTGAATCAACTCTAAAAAAGGATGGAGGAAACCTGCAAAGATGTAAATATAAAAAAACAAAAATCACAGTGCAAAAGGAAAACCAAAAAATTATGTAAAAAAAGAAAGCAGCAGCACATAGAAGGTACAAGGTATATCCTATAAACATAAACAATCTAAAACTGAAGCCGCACTAATGACGTGATCGATAAACATAAAAGTCCAACATGGGTGGACTGACAACTCATGGGGCCCCTGTGTCCTTGCCCAACCTCAAAAAAGCCTATGACAAAGGTACCAGGGGCATCTCATGGGGCCTCCTACTGACCCCGGGCCCTCGGGCAGTGCCCGAGTTTCCAAATGGTCAGTCCGCCCCTGGTCCAACATATGCTCAAAGTCCATGCAAAAATGTGGAAACCACTGTGCAATGCTTTCCAAAGGATGGTGTTCTTCAGATATGTAAAACACCCCACCCAGCAAGGCACATGTATGTGCTTACCGCAGTGAATGTGACTCTCAGCCTTAGAGAAGTCAAAACACGCTTTATATGAAGATCATATGTTCCAGAGCCTCACTTGGATGGACACTCAGCGCTCCTCAGGCAACTTCCCAAATACAGCCCCTGATGACGTCATTTATGACGAAACATATGTAGTGCGTACAGAGGATCGTGACTTCACCACCGCCATCAGAATTCCAGGACTGTATTACTGAATGCTGTTTTTTTCCCTATGAGAATGTGTGTGATTTTAACCATTTGTTATAAACGTTTTATACAGATTCACACTGTCAGAGCTTTGTTGCTCCCTTTCTTTACTATTTGGGAAGTTGTCTGAGGAGTGCTGAGTGTCCATCCAGGTGAGGCTCTGGAAAAATATTATCGTCATATAAAGCATGTTTTGACGTCTCTAAGGCTGAGAGTCACATTCTTTGCGGTAAACACATGTATCTGCCTTCAAATAAAAGCAAAAGAAAGTGCAACACATGAGATAAAACAAACAAATAACTGATAAATATCTATAACATCATAATAGGTAAATAAAAAGCACATATGAGTCCCAATGATTAGCTCTATGGCGTGAAGGTGCTACTCCGAGTGAAATCCCAGCAGGCTGTGCGTATATATTCAGAAGCGCAATCTCAATGCGCATTGGTTATGTCAGCCTGGAGATCTCCCTTCAATGGAACCTGGTCTGGTCTAGGATTCTCTCCCTCTGATGGTATGGGGCATTTAGGTGATGTCAATCAGAGGTCCCTCTTATGGATTGTATGATAAGGTCTGGTAATATGGAAGACAATCCTTCCTCCGGGCTGGATGAGACCTGAGTCCTGGGGGTTTAAGTGCTCATGGTAGAGCAAAAAATAGGGGATCCCATAGTGCAGTTTATGGCCAGGTGGGAGGAGGACGTCATATACGCCAGGGAGTAGCCAGAACTATTATTTTACAAACGCTATATTGGTGACGTTCTACTCCTATGGCAGGGGGAGGAATCAGCTCTAGTCAACTTTTTTGTCACGCTCAATAACAAAAACTTAAATATCCAGCTCACGTACACCTATAGTACGACTGAAATACATTTTTTTGGATATCACGATATTGAATAAAGGAGGCCACTTAACATCAGAAGCATTCTTTAACCACTTCCAGTTTGGACACTTTTACTCCCTTCCTGACCAGGGCAATTTTCAGCTTTCAGCGCTATCACACTTTGAATGACAATTGCGCGGTCATGCAACACTGTACCCAAATTAATTTTTTACCATTTTTTGAGACAGATAAAGCTTTATTTTGGTGGTATTTATTCACCGCTGGGATTTTTATTTTTTTTGCAAATGTAAATGTAAATGAAAAAGTCCAAAATGTTAGAAAAAAAGTGTTATTTTCCCCTACCGTCTTTCAGGCCAGCACTCTGAGAGACCTCGGCTCCTCCCCATCTGAGGAAACACCTCCACCTACAATAAAAAGCTCCACTCCCCTCTGACCACAGTTCAGGTGTTTCCTCCGGTGGGGAGACACGAGGAGGTGCAGGGCAGACGGTAGGGGAGCCGAGGGCCGGATAGCCGGCTGAGAGGCCCGACGCAGCCAGGAGTGAAGGCCGGAGTGTCCGGCTGCACATCCTCCTTGGGCAGGCTGCGGGCAGTGGGAGTGCATCCCAGGGGACGGGACAAAGCACTTGCCTGCTCTTCACCCCCCGACCCTCTCCGGCGAGGGGGGGCGTCGGGGCGGCCGTGGTGAGATCTGGGGAGGATCGGGGGGAGTTCCGCTCCTTCCCATGCTGGCGGTCGGAGGACTTTGCCGGGCCGGAAGTCGGGAGACGGCGGTTTCCGGCGGAAGGGGCGGGGCTTCGCCCAGGGCTGCGACTTCCGCTTCCGGTCGCGGCCCTCACACCACGGCGGCGCGAAATTCAAAAAGGCGGTGCGGTGCACAGCGGTCTGGGGGACAGACCAGCGCCAGGCGACCACCCTCCGGTACGGGATGTCGGAGGCACCGGGACCAGGAGATGCCAGCACCAGCCAGTCACAGGTAAGGTGCCTCGGTGGAGGCCTCCCCTACCTGTTGGCCCCTAGCAGTGGGAAGGTGGGGCAAGGGGTCTGCGGATTGCAGGCCCTTTTTTGCTCTGCCAGGAAGGAGCAGGGGGGGGGTGTTTAGTGTTGGACTGATTAGGCTTCCCTCCTCCCCCCTTTCTTTTGTGTCTTTCAGGGCAAGGCCCGAGCTAAACTTAGGCACCAGGAGCCCAAGCGGAGATGCCCTTCCTGTAAGGAAGTCTTGAAAGAATCTTGGCGAAAGGTTCTTTGTGGCCCATGTATACAGGGGTTGGTGAGGGAGGAGAAGCCGGAACAGGGGGACCTAGCCAGGTCAGTGAAGGAGTTGGCTACCACCTTCAACTCCTTCAAACCCTCATGGAGAGGTTTGCCCTCCCATTGCCTACACTTCCCCCCCCCAGGTAGCTACGGTGAGTCGTCGGGAACCCCTTGTGACCGGGGAGGAACCAGTGGGGGACTCCCAGTCTGAGGAGGAATCGGCGGGGGAGGGTCCCTCGGAGGAAGGGAGGGGCCCCTCCCGGTACAAATTGACCCTAGAGGAAGTAGATGAGCTCCTGGGGGCTATATACGAAACCCTAGACATTAAGGAGGAGGTTAAGGCCTTGTCTCTCCACGACCAAATGTATCAGGGGTTGGAGGAGCACCAGCACAGAATATTTCCTGTGCATGACATTTTGGTGGACAAAGGAATGGCAGGACCCAGAAAGGAAGCCGTTCTTCTCTAAGGCGCTGAGAAGGAGATTTCCGTTTTCGGAAGACCCGGAGGCGGTCTGGAACAAGAGCCCTAGACTAGACGCAGCCTTTTCCCAAACGACCAGGAGAACTGACCTGGCGTTTGAGGACATGGGGGTCTTACCAGACTTATTGGACAGAAGGGCGGAGTCTCTCCTTAGGAAGGCCTGGGACTCGACCCTGTACAACCTGAAGCCGGCCATGGCTACGACAGTGGTAGCCAGAAACTTAGAGTATTGGCTTACGCAATTACAGGCCCATATTGTGGCAGACTCTCCCAAGGAGAAAATCTTGGCCTCTTTTGAGACCCTTTTGCAAGGAGTTGGGTATATTGCGGACGCTTCCGCAGAGTCGGTGAGGTTGGGGGCCAGGTCTGCTGCCCTGACCAATTCAGCCAGAAGGGCGCTGTGGCTTAACACGTGGCAGGGGGACATCACTTCGAAAGTTAGGTTGTGCGGCATCCCCCTCACAGGAGACTGTTTGTTCGGCCCGGGGTTGGAGGAGTTGTTGGGACCGGACAGCTGATAGGAAGAAGTCCTTCCCCCTCAAGAGGAAAATACAGGAGGGGGGGACACGGAAGGCCCGCCCGGCAAAAAGGCTGAACCTGCGACCGCCTGGTCAGGGTAGGTCTGCTGGACAGAGAGGTAGGGGAAGAGGGGGAGCGATTTTTCGCCCTCCTGAGCAGCCCCAAAAGCCAAGGTGACTTGGTTCCTCCTGTGGGGGGAAGATTGGCGGCATTCCTCCCACAGTGGGAAGCCGTGGTCACCAGCCCCTTCATTTTGGATGTCATCCGAAGGGGTTACCGGTTGGAATTTCTAAGGCCGCCACCCGAGACTTTTCTGGTGACGACCCATCCAAGGGATCCAGCGAAGGACGCGGCTCTGGTGGGCGCTTTAGAGATTCTAGAGTCCCAGGGGGTCATCTCCAGGGTTCCGGTAGAGGAACGAGGGAAGGGAGTTTATTCCCATGTGTTTGTGGTTCAAAAGCCGTCTGGGGCGTTCAGACTGATTTTGAACCTGAAACCCCTAAACAGGTCAGTGCGTTACCGGAGGTTCCGCATGGACTCCATTTTTACAATCAGGTCCCTAATACCACCAGGTGCATTCATGGCATCCATAGACTTGAAGGACGCCTATCTACACGTGCCCGTGGCGGAAGCCTCTCAGAGGTTCCTCAGGTTGGCAGTGGGGGGGGAGGAAGGAATTCGACATTGGCAGTTCAGGGCTCTTCCATTCGGCCTTTCCTCCTCGCCAAGAGTATTCACCAAGGTTCTGTCGGAGGCATGATTTCTATTCGCTTGAGGGGGATTTCAGTGGTGGCCTACCTGGACGATTTGCTGCTTTTCGCAGACTCAGAGGCTCACTTACGGCAAGACCTGGTTATAGTGAGGGGCCATCTAGAAAGCTTGGGGTGGATTTTGAATCTGGAGAAGTCCTGCCTGGTACCTTCTCAGAAAGTGATTTACTTGGGCTACGCTCTAGATTCGGTAGACCAGAAGACCAGCCTGACTTTGGAAAAGATCACCAAGTTGGAAGCCGGGGTCAGATTACTACAGGGGAGCAGGTCGATATCCATAAGGCAGGCCATGTCGGTACTTGGATTACTGACAGCGTCCATTCCGGCAGTTCAGTGGGCAGGTCTGCATATGCGTCCCCTCCAGTTGTGGATCCTGAGAGTTTGGGACAGGAGGAGTCACTCCCTAGAACGCAGGGTCCTGGTTCCCCCCAGTGTGAAGAGGTCTCTATGGTGGTGGAGGAGATCGTCCAGCATAACTCAGGGGCTGTTGTGGTGCTTTCCGATATCCACGGAGGTCACTACGGATGCCAGCGCCAGGGGCTGGGGAGCCCACCTGGGAAATTTGGTGACTCAGGGGGAATGGTCCTTGGGGCAGAAGGCCCAATCCTCGAATTGGAAGGAATTGAGGGCAGTGTGGGAGGCTCTGCACTCCTTCCAGGTGGGGGTCACGGGCCAGCACGTGCGTGTCCTAACGGACAATGCCACGGCAGTGGCTTTATATAAACAGGCAGGGAGGGACAAGGAGCAAAGCCCTCGGAGCCTTAGCGGCGACACTGTTGTCCTGGGCAGAGGTGAACTTGGCGTCCCTGTCTGCGATACACTTAAAAGGGGAGCTGAACCAGAAGGCAGACTTCCTGAGCAGGACTCGGCTCAGGGAGTCGGAATGGGCCTTGAACCCCAATGTCTTTCAGGAGATTGTGCGGAGGTGGGGATCCCCGGAGGTAGACCTTTTTGCCTCCGGGAGGAACAACAAGGTCCCAAATTTC